ACCCCAAAACCCCAAAACCCCAAAACCCCATTGATGAAATATATGAAATTAACACGAATTAATAAATTTTCATAATATTTTTAATACTCCAAATCAAATTTTTAAAGCAGATATTGCTTCTACATAGATTTTATCATAAAATTCATATAACTCAGACTGGTCTCAATCTCAAGTTCGATCAAGTGACTCTGCTCTGGAATTACTTTTCTTGTATTTGCCTTTTGAAGCATTAATTTAGATATCGATATCAATATCTTCATCATCTACGTTTTCATCGTCTTCTTCTTCCACCATTGTATAATCCTCCTAAAATTCCTAAGGCATCACACTTTTGCCTTCTTAATCTTATTTGAATTAAATCTTCTATTGCTACACTAATACTGATGTAGGTTTAGAATCTACTAAAATTAAGCTCACTATAACAGCAAAGAGGATAATGAACAAGTAGGTTATCATCATAGGGCCATCTTCTAATAATTTAATCTAGGTTGAGAGAGCACCAGCAAGCCCAGCAAAAATATTGCAAACTCCAAATGAAGTAGAAGCAAATATAGTTGGAAATAGATCGTTTGCCAGATATACCCCTTAATATGTTGCTGCTACTCCGAACCTAGTCACAAATGTAGAGATCATATCAAGCTCCTTATACTTAGATTAATCCAATACAAATACTAGAATACCACCCAGTAGGGCCACTAGGTAAAAAATAAAGAAAAACTTTCTGGCTCCAATCTTGTAATAAATGTATCCAGCCAATAGAAAGGCCACAATCTCTGATGTAGCATTAGCCATATCATTATCAAATTAATCTGATGGGAAATAGTTATCATGGCCATACGCTATGTTGTAACCTAAGAAGGTACACATCCATAGAAATATGGAAATGATAAGGTTTCGGACAAGCGTTCTATCTTTGATAAAAGCTCTAACTGAGGATCTCAAGTTTTGCTGCATTTCTATAGATTTCGAGTAAAACTTCTCCTTGATATTTTAATCAATAGTCAACTTTTTCTTATTACTAATACTCTATCTTAGAGATTTCATTTCTCCCTCAATGTCGAAGAGATAGTATGAGTCCATTTTAGATCGATTAAATTTTGCTATGTATCTAAAGGCTTGCTTTGTTTTTCTAAAATCATAAAATGAATAAGCTTATTCAGGACTTTCAGGCAAAAAGTAACACCCTATTATACTAATGAAGTTTATAGACACTCCAATGATTTGAAGTCCCTGCCAGTTTTTAGAGATAAACTTGAAGTAAAGAACTATAAATATGACGGAAAGCTATTCAGCAACTAAGAGTAGGGTGGAAACAGCATTTTTATACTTAGTGTGAACATACTCTGAAATATTAATATAGCCTCCATTATATCTTCCTACAGTGCATATTCCAATCATAAAGGAAAGGGCCATATTAAGGTACAAACTTTTAGATAGGATTATTCCCACATATATAGGAAGTTAAGCTATTAAACAGAGCATAAAGGGCCATTTACGTCCATATAGATCAAGAAATCTTGGAATGAAAAAGCATCCGAATGTATATCCCAGATAAAAAAAGAATGTAACTTGACTTAGAGTTGACTATGGTGTGCCTAAATAAAATTAAGTCATTTAGTAAAGTATATAAATTTCATGCTTACATTTGAGATTGAAATCGTTTACCCAGTTATCTAGTGAGTACTGATTGCTCCAATCTACATAAGAATTCTTGTTCTTGCATGCCTATTCTGAATCACATTAAGCTTTTGATCCATCTTCATTAGGACACATATAAACTGGTTGCCAAACAAGATAATCTATTGCATAAACGTATATACTACCAGAAGTGAACGCGAGCGTATACATTATGCACATGTAAACCTAAAACCATCCTAATTACAATTAAGAGTTGAATATACATATTGGATAAGTAAAGAAATAGAGTAAGCCTGCGAAGCTTACAAAATATAAGCAATAAGATAGATAAGGAACTTACCAAAACCTCCAGATAGATTAAAAACTTCATCTAGAGTGTAGTGCTTGAGGTTCAATTATAAAGGTGACAAGGCCATTCAAGTGAGATTTGTGTCTCTGTGCATTAATGTTTCTAAATTGTAGTCATCATTGTCTAGTAAAGCCACAGATTACCTTTCTCGATCATCGTCATCTCTATCTTATATTGATGTATTCATTTTGATTTATAATTTTTTATTCAAGAAAAACTCAAATCTTGATAGATTTAGACCTATGGGGTTTTGGGGTTTTGGGGAGATCGGA